CGGGCGGGCCTGTGCAGACTCACGACCCTCGGTGCCTCTTGGCTGGGTCCTCCCTGTTGGCCTCGAGACTTGCACCCGCCTCCCTGTCTGCTCCCAGCCAGAAGGGCACAGGTCCTGCTTTTCTTTCCCTCAGTCCAGTCTCTCCTCCGTCTCTCCCCGTCTCTGTCTCTCTCCTCTGTCTCTCCCCGTCTCTGTCTCTCTCTTCGTCTCTCCCCGTCTCTGTCTCCTCTGTCTCTCCCCGTCTCTGTCTCTCTCCTTCGTCTCTCATCTCTGTCTCTCTCTCCGTCTCTCCCCGTCTCTCTCTCCTCCGTCTTTCCCCATCTCTGTCTCTCTCTTCGTCTCTCCCCGTCTCTCTCTCCTTTGTCTCTCCCTGTCTCTGTCTCTCTCCTTCATCTCTCCCTGCCTCCGCTGCTCTCCATCTCTCCCTCTCCGTCTCTCCCCGTCTCTGTCTCCATCTCTCTCCATCTCCGTCCCTCTCTGCGCCTTCTGTCTCTGTCTCTCCTGCCGCCTGCCCCCTGGCTGCCCCTTCTGCCCGGCCTCGGTCTTGACTTTGCAGCGGCCCGGGGCGAGCCTGCAGGTAGCCGTGGAACCCACGGCCTGCTGTGGGCCCAAATCTGCGTGGGCTGGGGGCGGCTGGGGGCACACAGGACCCCTTGGCCTCCCGCTCGGCCTCCCCTCTCCGGCCCCTCCCTGCCCGAGCCGGCCTCGGGGCCCACTGGCCCCCGCACTGGCCAGCCCTGCGGGCCCTGGACTCAGCCCCGTCCGTGTAACCTCCCCGCATCCGCCCTTGGCCGTGGCCAGACCCCAGGGCCTCCCGGCACGGCACGACGGCCACATCCCACCGGCCCGGGCTTGCGGGCGTGGCGAGGGGCCCCAGTCTGCCTCCCTGCCCAGCCGGCCCCCGCTCGGCAGCCGGGCTGACCCTTTCTCCCACTCCCCGGGCGGCTTCAGGAGGCGGAACCGCCTCTGGGCACCTCAGGGAAGCGCACTGGGGGGAAGCTAAGAAGCAGGGCGCGTGGGTCACGGCCTGGGCCTGCCTTGGACTGCACCTCTGCTCCCCACGCTTGGGCGGGTCTGAGGTCTCGGGCCCCAGAACCTGCAGGGTGGAGTCGGCAGGCAGGCAGCCCCGGGCTCTGTCGGCACGCCGGGCATGGCCCACACCGTCCCTGCTGTACACGGCATCCGTACTTCACAAGACGGCTGGCAGGTCGTGAGCCTCGGGCAGGGGGGGGACGGCAGGCCTGGAGTCCCCGGCCCCTGCAGCCCGAGTCTCCGGGAAAGCCGGACAGCGAGGCAAAGGGGGCCAGGCCTTGCCTGGCCTCCCTTTCCAGCCTCTGAGCGGAGGCTGGCTCCATGGGCCCCGCAGACAAGGGGGGCCCCGTGACTGGAGGGCTGCCCCCAGGGCTCCCAGGAACTTTGCAAGGAGGGCATGGAAGCCCACCACAGCCCGAGGGGGCCTCTCGCAGGGTGAGGCGTGGCTCACAGGCAAAACTCGACACAATTACGGTGTTGCAGTTTCCCACACAGAACATCCCGTGTCAAAACCCCGAGGGCAAAAGGACAAGGCACAAGCGTGGCCAGGCCTGCGGGAGGGACAGAGGCGGAGGGGCTGGGGGCACTGGCTCGCCCACAAGGAGGGCTCTTCACCCGCAGACCTCCCCGGGGGCCTCAGAGCCAGGATGCCCCCATCTCCCCGGCCAGGCTGTGCCGGACCAGCCTGACCCCACGTGGCCCCTGCCCGCCCAGGCCCGGGTCTGCAGCTGTGTTGCTCCAGGTCTTTTAATTCTGGGAGAGCTTTAAAAATTCACGTCTTGTTTTCAGCGACGACGCGTCAGTTGCACACGTGTGATCTCGCCCGGAAGACCCTCGCAGACCGAACGCTGGGCTTCTTCGCTCCCTCCAGGCTGGAGCCTGGTGACAGGCTCCCGGGGCCTTCCGCCTTTCTCTCTTCAGGAGCCTGGGTGCCCTTTGAGGAGCGCGGGTGCCACCGTCCCGGAGTTTCTGTACCTGGCGGGCCTCTGTCTGTGCGGGGGGCGGCCCTCCTGGGGGAATCCTGGTTCTGATGTGTGAGCGGCGTGTGTGCCTGTGCATGCGCGTGTGTACACATGTGTGTCTGTGTGGGGTGTATATATGTGGCGCGTGTATATTGTGAACCTGCATGCGCATGTGTACACACGTGTGGTATGTATGTGTACATATTTGCTGTGCGTGAGGTGTGGGTGAGGTGTGTATGTACGTGGTGTGTGTACGTGTGTGCCCATAATTGTGCACATGTGGTGCGTGTACATGTGTGGCATGTGTGAGGTGTGCATGCGTGTGGTGTGTGTATGTTCAGAGGCATGGGTGGTGTGTTCCCCGGGTTCGCCGTGGGTCCCCTCTCCCCTGAGGGTTCTCCTTCGAGAGAGGACACAGCACGTGTGTGCCTCCTGTCTCGGGACCGGGCACCTGTGGCTCCCACGGCCTGGCCAGCGGGGGCTTTCCATGTCTCTCTGTGGCCTGACTGTCTGCCTCCCGGAGAACGCAAGCCTCCGTGGGACCCTGCAGACCTGGGGATGCGGCGTGGCTCCCGCGTGGGCTCCCCTTGGGCGCCTCTTCCAAGCCACGTGGCCCTGATGGACTGGACCGAGGCTGACGGTGACACGGGCCCCTGGCAAACCACACCGTGCGCCCGGGCAGGAGTGGAACACGCCCCTGCCTGGCCTTCACCCCGGGGTAATGTCCACGCGGATCTGAGACTGAGATGGAAATGCAAGTCCCACGAACTGCGCAGGACACGCGGGTGCGGGTGTGCGTGCCGTGACCAGGCCGGAAGGCCCTGGGGACCCAGGCACGGGCGTGCGTCGCTGTGGGGGCGGACGGAGCAGGCCTCGCGAAGGCGGAGACTTCTCGGGCGAGACCGCCCGTGGGGGCAGCGAAGGACAGTCCGCCGGAAGGGCGCGCGACACACGCCGGCAGCCGTCGGCACAGGACGGACAGCGCCGCGGATGGGGAGAGGCTCTGAGCCGTTCACAGAGAGACGGGTGGCCCCCAATCCCACAAATGTCTAATCCCCTTTCATAAACACAAGAGACGACACAACCAGGTGTCTTTTAAAAATTTATTTATTTATTTATTTAGTTTTGAGTCGGAGTCTCACTCTGTCGCCCAGACCGGAGTGCAGTGGCCGCTCCCAGCCCCCGCAGCCTCGACCTGCTGGGCTCCGGCGATCCTTCCGCCTCAGCCTTCTGAGGAGTCGGGACTACAGGTGCGCGCTACCACACCCGGCTCATTTTGATTTATTGTAGAGACAAGGTCTCGCCAAGTTGCCCAGGCGGGTCTTGGACCTGCGGGCTCAGGCAGTCCACTCACCTCAACCTCCCAAAGGCGCGGGCGGGATGACAGGCTGAGCCACTGAGCCTGGCTCTTTTTTTTTTTTTGAGTCAATCTCCCAGGTTGGAGTGCAGTGGCACACTCAAGGCCACCATAGCCTCAACCTGCTGGGCTTAGCTCAGGCGATCCTTCCGCCTCAGCCTTCCAAGCAGCTGGAACTACAGGCATGCACCACCACACCCAGCTAACTTTTTGATTTATCGTAAAGATGAGTTCTCACCAACTTGCTCAGGCTGGTCTCGAATCCCTGGGCTCAGGCAGTCCTCTAGCCTTGGCCTCCCTAGGTGCTGGGATGACAGGCGTGAGCCACTGTGCCCAGCTTGTAGTATACTTTTTTTGTGTGTGTGTTGGAGTCTTACTCTGTCACCCAGACTGGAGTGCAGTGGCCACTTCCAGCCACCGCAGCCTTGCCTGCTGGGCTCCAGCAATCCTTCCGCCTCAGCCTTCCAGGTAGCTGGAACTACAGACACGCGCTACCACACCTGGCTAGTTTTTTGATTTATTGTAGAGATGAGGTCTCGCCAAGTTCCCCAGGCGGGTCTCAAACCCACGAACTCAGGCAAGCTTGTAGTGTATTTTAACACTTTAAGTCAGAATCCAAATAAAGTTTGTACATCATGATTCGTTGATAGGTCTTTAAATGCAAATTTTCCATTTCTTCTTTCTTGAAATTCATTTTTTTTTTTTTTGAGTTGGAGTCTCACTCTGTCGCCCAGACTGGAGTACAGTGGCCGCTCCTGTCCACCACAGCCTCGACCGGCTGGGCTCCGGCGATCCTTCCGCCTCAGCCTTCTGAGTAGCCAGAATTACAGGTATGCGCTACCACGCCCGGCTGATTTTTTTGATTTATTGTAGAGATGAGGTCTCGCTGCCCA